CCCTCCTGATCCCAACCACCAGTTTGGATGCGGTTGCCTTACTGTCCAGCACTTTGGGACGTTCTCCTGACGTGACAGGCGCTGTACAAATGTAATTGGTTGTTGTTGCGTGAAAACATTTCTCCTCACCTGCTCATTTGCTAACTATCTTAAATTGTTACCCCCTGATCATCGATGGTTATTAGAGAGTAATAACAAGCTGGTTGCATATTTCCTGTCCCACTTTCCCTGACTTGGTGATGCTGAAGTCAGGTGTAGTATTTACTTCACCATCCCCCGTGCCCCCACCCCCTTCAATGCTTCCCTGTAATCAGTTAACTGGAAAGTTTGTGTTCTTGTTTGGCTGAGCAGCAAAGTGGGGCTGAAAATCTGGTAGTCATTTCACATAGAGAACATCAAAAATCTCAGGGTCAAGTGGGATTTCCCCATTATAATAAAGCATTGGTCAAAACTGCTGGATAGAATATCTACCACTATTTCTGTCCACAGGTGGTTGCTAGTAGTATAGATAAGTCTAGAGATATTATATTAGTGTCCCGATAGGCAAATTATAGATTTCCATAGTGTAATCAATGTGGCACCTTCCTTGAAACATAGAGATGATGATAAATATAATAAATTAAATATCATTAATAATATGCGCATTTGATGAAGTGCCATACCAGTTGTCAAGAAATTACTGTGACTGTACGTATTTTGTGGGCAAATGTGGCAACCAATTTGCACCCAGCAATATCTCATAAAAGTCATTGAATGAGTGACCAATTTTACTTGGGAGGATTGTTGGCCGGGACACTGGGAGAAACTCTGCTTCACTTTTCAAATAGCGCGATGGGATCATTCACGTACACCTGAACAGGCATCTGGACCTCGGTTTAACATCTCATCCGAAAATTAAGTGTGCGTGAGAGAGACATCATATGCCTGAGCCTGCACACTCATTTTGTTATTCACTAGTCACTCATTTACTTAAATTATTTAATTTGTTTTAATTTGTTTAAGATCCAAGAATAGGGGCATTTTGTTTTGGCATTATTCCCATTAAATCCTCCACGTGCTTAGTAAAGCTCATAAAAGGTAACCCTCCGCTCGACTGACTCTCGCCTCCTACTTGTCCCTTGCGCCCTCCGATCCACCTTCAGTGGCCGTGCTTTTAGCCACTCCGCCCCCAAATTCTGGAACACTCTTCCTCTATCCCTCCACCTTGCTCCCTCCTTCCCCATCCTTCGAGTCATATCTTCCTCTTCGACCATCCAGTGACCTTTCCCCCAGCTCGGTAATGCTCCTCCACTGTCAAGTGCTCTGGGACGCAACCCGGCATGAGGGGCGCTATATAAATGCAAGTTATTGTTGTTATAAATGTTACAAAGCTGGTTTACAATTGGTAAGAGATGTTCAGATTGTTTTTGCAGTATTCAGTTACAAAGCTAGTGTTTTACATTGGGATATCAATTAGACCACTTGATTATCCAACTTCCACTTTCAGGAGCGTGTGTCTGAGCTCTGGGCAGGAAGATAGTGCCAATGCTCTCATGCATTTCCTGTGAATTCCACATTTCCTCACTAAGAGGTTTGCTATTCACCTAGCAAGGCGCTCACGCTTGGTAGATATCTAATAACTAACTCATGCCTATTTTCCTTAAGCGGGAAGTAAGCAGGCTCTCCTTGGGACTGCACTGGCTCCATTCTGGCAATAGAATATCAGAATCAATTTAATTTTCTGTGGCAGTCTCAGTAGTCCAGCTTCAGGCAGATCCACAGTACTCTGCTGTTGATGACAGACCAGCCAGTCTAGCTCATCTGCAGGACCCGGTGTGGCAGATCAGTCACTGGGGACAGAATTCTTCCCACTTGGTTCCTGTTAACCGTGCAAGCCAAATCTCTAATGGGTAGGATGGCCCTAGCTGAGCAAACATTCAGAAGCTTGCAAAATAGTGGTGTGAGCTAATTAAACTCCAGCAGCACCACAATGCAAACTCTGGGCTCCCTAAACCTTGGTTTCTGTCAACCTGTGCCTAATACGTTTTGAAATTAGGTAAACAGCATAATCCCTTCAGGGAGAGAGCACAGGTGTGAAGAAATTCATCTCCATTGCAGATGTGAAGAAATTTTCATGCATACATAGCATGCATATATAGAGCTTTCAATAGTTTGATTTGAATACTGTTTAGGTTTAGCATGTCAATCAATTTCTGCATGTATCAGACACCTAGCTGACTAAAAAAGAATGCCAACTTCAACTCGATGAATACCTTGTTTTAAATTGATTCTCCTTGAGGGGGCTGGAGGTATGTAAGTCAGTTCCGAACTTCCAGGAGCTGAACTTGCTCTGAATAGACACACCTGGCAAAGTTACATATGTCTGAAGCATTTAAGGCCAGATTTGGAGTTGTAAATATTGTCCACAAAATCTTAACAAATAGGGTGGACAAGTGCTATCCCATGTAGTTACCCATTCAATGTTCCAATTATTGTGATTAACGGGAAGGTGTGTGATCAGCTGTGGTGGCAGTGGCAAGTTGTTGGAATGGGAAGATGTTAGGATGGGTTTTCTGGAAGGATGAGATCAAAGGCCTTCTTCATTCGAACCTCTCTTGTGATCCACAAATCTTTCTGTATTTGCATTTGCTAACCACCAGCAAATGTCCAAGAGGTACCTGGAGTGACTTAATCACCAAATTTATTCCCTTCCTGTGGGGAAGAATCTTTCCTGTAATGCACAATTGTTACCTGCACTAATTGGTACCAATGAGAATAGATTAGATAAGCTGGTGCTGTTCAGTCTTGAAAAGAGACATCTCAGAGGAACTTATAATGATATATAAGATAGAGAAATTAGATTTTAAAAAATCCAGAACAATACTTTCAGATATGCCAAGAAAGATTTTGAAGTATAATTTTGGGATAGACACCAGGAAGTATTTTTTTACAGAAAAGGAATTTACTACCCAGAAGGGTGGTCAGGACATTTAAGAAACCGCTTGATGTTGGTACATTGACAGTGGTAGAGAGTGCTAATAAAGAAGGATGAGATCGAATGGACTGAAGGATCTTTACAATCAACATCTTTGTGATCTTTTGAGTAAATATCCTTGGTAAAATGCAGTTCACCTTGAACTTATCTTTTGGTGTAATTTTTTTTTTGAAAAGGCTAATGCTTTTTATTAGCAATTCATTTCGTAATTTTAAATGAAATCAGTAAATACTGTAAATACTCTACAGATTAATCAGGTCAGTGTATTGATAATAATAATAATCCTTGCATTTGATATAACGCCTTATCATGTGGTTGAGATGTCTTAAATCGCTTAACAGAATATTCTGTTTAGAATATTTCCTATATACAGAAATATGATGCTTTATAATATAAAATGCTTGATGTAACTGATGGAATGCCTTATCACATCAAAATGTCTAATAGAGCTTCACACAATGGATTATTTTCAATTACAGTGACTATTTTTGTGGAGGCAAACATATAATCTTATCTATGCTATTAATAGCCAATAAACAGCAATGAGGTGAATGACCAAATCTGATCTGTTTCGGTAATGCTGGCGAAAGGAGGAATATCGATTGACCTAATAATAATATTTTTTTATTATATATATTATTATTAACAATAATATTGCAAAAATGATTCTCGAAAAAGCAAATTGTAATGTAATAATAATAATCCTTGGATTTGATAAGGCATCTTTCAATGTCAAGAGGACGTCTCAAAGGGTTTCAAGGAAAGTGTAACTGTCGAAAAGACCCCCTGTGTAGTGAACAAGCTAATCTTGGATGAAAGATCATACATGAAATGGTAACTTATTATTTCTCATTCCTGAGCTGAATGGCTTAGTGGGAATTTTCAATTTCAATTTCTCTTTCCTCATCCTCGTCTTTCGTTTGGCCTATATTAGTTTTCATTGTGTGGTATGATTATAGGAGGAGGCAGGTGGGGGTTAGAAGAATAGCTACAGTCCATCTTTTCTGCAGAAGCCTCTGGTCTGAAATTGTTTTTTTGGGGGGGATCAGCCATGTGTCTGACACATGTGGAAATCCATCTCCATGCTTATAATAATAATAATAAATAATAATAATCCTTGCATATGATTATAGTGCCTTATCACGTCTTCAAGACGTCTCAAAACGCTTAACAGAATATACTGTAAAGTGAATCGACTGTTATAATTATTCAATATTATAATGATATCATTTGCTTAAGAGTATCCAAACCAAACTGAGAATTCCATGCATCCCACCGACACATGGAAATCCTGGAGAGAGACTGTTGGGAGTGCAATGCACACTCTCTGCCTGGACAGAGGCATCCTGCTTACCTAATTCCAGAAAGTACGAGGCACAGGTTGAGAAGAGCCAATGAACTATACAGCATTTTCCTTGGGAGCTACTTAGAGGAGGAGGAGGAGGAGAAAGACAGGGGAGGGGGGAAAAAAAAGAAACAAAAAAAAAACAAAACCCCACAGCTGTTTGGATTCTTCCAGCCAGTCGCAGCATCGACGGTAGATGGCGATGCGAGGTTTGGTGGTGGTGTGTGTGTGTGTGTGTGTGTGTATTTTTTTGTTTTGGGTGGATACGTTGCTGTGTGCGAGAAAGGTTGGAGGGGCAGGAAAAAAGTGTTGGGGGGTTGGGGGGGGGGGTGGGTGTTGGGTTGTTTTGTTGCGCCTGGATGCTGTCTGGGAGCAAGGACAAAGGGACAAGGCGCAGAGAGGAGACTGAGACCCAGGGAGAGGGGGAGAGGGACACACACACACACACGCACAGTGGCTACAGGACAAAGGCAGAGACCGAGAGGGAGAGACAGACTGAGCCTCTGTGGCCCCACACAGCATCCCAGGGACTACACACATTCCTGCAGAGGCACTGACACACACACACACACACACACTGACTGTGACTGACTCCAGGCAGCAGAGCTGGGGCAGACCCCCCCACACACACACACACACTGACTGTGACTGACTCCAGGCAGCAGAGCTGGGGCAGACCCCCCCCCCACCCCTTGCCTTTGCCTGGGCTACTGGTTAACTAACCACTGACAACGCGCTAACAACACTGCAGGTGAGCAGCAGCGCCGCCTCACAGCGCGGAGAGAGGCTTAGACCCCACAGTGAGGGGTGGGGGGGGTAACCTGCTCGGTAGGGTTGTTATCTGTGTTTATATATATATATATATATATATATATGTCAGGGAGGGGGAGAGATGTTGTGGAAACGAGGAGTCTGGTAACCGCAGCAGCCGCGCCGCGTTTATCAGGTCAGGTCATGTACAGGTGCGGTGCTGTCAGTCAGTCTCTCTCTCTTTCTCTCTCTCTCTCTCTAAGTTTCTGATGTTGGGAAGGATCTCCGAGGAGAGGATCGGCTCTGAAGCTTAAAGAAAAAAAGACTAAGCAAAAGGTACCCCAGCAATCCCCCCCCCACCCCCCACCCCCCCAGCCAGGCAGGCTGGGGATGCTCTCCTGCTGGGGCAGCAGCAGTGGGGGGGTGGGGGGGGGCGCTGTGTTTGGGTTTGGTTGTGTCCCTCAGTCACTCCTCTCTCTCTCCCACTTAAAAGTTCATTTGTATTTATTTGTATCCCTAAGTTTTTTTTTCATTTGAGATTCAGACTTGAACTGGAAACAAATGTCAGCGACTCGCTGATAACCCAAAGTGGCAGCAGCAGTCGTACCTTTTGCAATATTTTGCATTGGGTTAATTTTTTTCTCTGGGGGTTAATAAATTGCTTGAATTTCCAAGCGAGGACTGCAGGTCAGACACCAAGTGTTTTATTTTAAAAGGGAAATGTTCCTGGTCTCCCAATCCCCGTTTCCTTTTACCAGGTGTTGTACTGCCCAATAACTGCTTGTTTTTATCTCTCTGTATGAATGCATATTATAAATGTTTGTTTTGTCCTTATTGTTTTTTTTTCTGGTTTCAAATCGTCTCAATTTGGCATTTAGGAATCAGCCAATTACAAATTTCACCAATAGCACTTGTCCTCCAGTCCTACATGAAGGTTTTTGAGCAAAGTGCAAATATTGTTTGTTGTTGTTTGTGTGTTACATTGTTTCTTTGTGTGTGTGTGTATATATATAAATAATAATAATAATAATCCTTGCATTTGATATAGCGCTTTTCACGTCGGGAGGACGTCACTGTAAAGTGAATTGACTGTATATTTGTGGGCGAAGGCGGCAGCCAATTGCGCACAGCAATGTCCCACAAACAGTCGTAGATTGAAAATGACCAATTTCTTTTTATTATTGTTTTTGGTTTTGGAGGGATTATTATTAGGCGTGTGGTGTAAGGAAACTTGCCCAAGGTTTCGCCCTGATGCCTGGAATTGAACCCAGGTCTCTCGCTTGCAAAGCGAGTGCTCTAACCACTGAGCTACAGGACTCCAAATATAATATGTATAACATAATATGTATATATTTAAGCTCCAATATTGAGCTCTCATTTTATATGCTTTGGGAAGGTAAACCGGATGGCTAAGGGTAAAAGCCTGCATTAGAGGGAAACTATTCCCACTCTCATTCCCACGCTTCCCCCCCCCCCCCAAGAAAAAAATTTGCCTTTGAATTTTGCGTTTTGCTCTATCAGAACCGATTCTCAAATGGCAGCAGTGTTTGTGAGCCACACAGCCAGCGGGGTCCAGCCCGGCCCACCCGGGGCCACCACTCCTCCACCTGTGGCTAGTTACTGCCATGGTACCATGTATCTTATAACATTCCTGGATTTGTCGCATTTCAGTGAAGCTGGGTGCATACCTTCTGAGCGCTCAGTCGAGAAGCGTATGATTTTAATTGATCCTTTTTTTGACAATGTTTAAGGGTTTTTTTGTTAGAAAGAGAGTTCGCTTGGATCCCGTATTGCTTTCTAGTAGTTGCTTTAAAAATACCTTAGATTTTTTTTAAACCCAAGTTAGAAAAGCAGTCTGAACCTGACTTGCAAGTCTGAGTTCCATATCCAAGCCAGTCCTAAACAAGCTACGTTATTGTCAGGTGCTTATTTAGTAGGCTGAGAAATGTTCAAACAGTACTGTGTATAAACACATGTAGTATGAAAGAAAGTGACAGATGTTTGCATTCACCACAGTTTACAAAATTACAATGTTCTATGTAAGTTTCAAAAGGGCAATATTTGTGGAAACATCTTTCTAGGAACACGTTTGAAACGACTCTTGTCTGGAACAGTCTTACATACTCTTAGGGATAAACGGGTCATTCTCGAATTGGCAGGATGTGACTAGTGGAGTGCCACAAGGATCAGTGCTTGGGCCTCAACTATTTACAATTTACATCAATGATCTAGACGAGGACATTGAATGTAACATATCTAAATTCGCGGATGACACTAAACTAGGTGGGAGAGTAAGCTCTGAAGATGATACAAAAAGATTGCAATGGGATATAGATAGGCTTGGGGATTGGGCGAATAGGTGGCAGATGGAATTTGATGTGGGAAAGTGTGAAGTTATTCACCTAGGTAGAAAAAATAGAAAAACTGATTATTTTCTAGAGGGGGAGAGATTAGATAGTGTTAGTGTTCAGAGGGATTTGGGTGTCCTTGTACACCAGTCTCAAAAAGTTAGTTTGCAGATGCAGCAAGCAACTAAGAAGACGAACGGCATGTTAGCGTTCATTGCGAAAGGTTTAGAGTACAAGAGTAGGGAAGTCTCCTTATTTAAAAAAGGACATACTTGCCCTAGAGGGGGTGCAGTGTAGATTCACTTGGTTAGTTCCTGGGATGAGGGGACTGACCTATGAGGATAGGCTGAATAAACTAGGGCTGTATTCTCTAGAGTACAGAAGAATTAGGGGAGATCTTATTGAAACATATAAGATTCTTAAAGGGCTGGATAAAGTAGACACTGAGGGTCTGTTTCCCCTGGTAGGAGAATCTCTAACCAGGAGTTACAGTCTTAAAATTAAGGGTCAGCCTTTTAGAACAGAGTTGAGGAAACATTTCTTTACTCAGAGGGTAGGAATTCACTACTCCAGAAGGCTGTAGATGCTCAGTCCTTGAACATCTTCAAGGCTGAGACTGATAGATTTTTAAAAAATAGAGGGATTAGGGGATAAGGGGATAGGGCAGGTGATTAGAGTTAGGTCTGAAGATCAGCCATGATCTTATCAAATGGTGGGGCAGGCGGAGAGGGAGTAGGGGGGTGACCGTAAGCACCAATCATCAAAAAGGAAGGCCTTCAGGCAGAATTTGAAAGTGTGGAGGGAGGGGGTAAGGAGGGACTGAGTTCCAGAGTTTCCGGGTGTACTGGCTGAAGGCACGGCCACCGACGGTGGAGCAGAGCTGACAAGGGACGAAAAGGAGGCCAGACCTAGCCAAGCGGAAGGGGGGAGTGGGGGGCAAGCAAATCGGAGGGCATGAAGGGATTTGAAAACAAGTGAGAGGATTTTTAAATTGATTCATTCAGTAATTGGGGGCAAGAGAAGCCTGGCAAGGACTGGTGTGATGGGGGTGCAGAGTTTTGTGTGGGTGAGAATCCGAGCGGCGGAGTTCTGAATTACTTGTATTTTGTGTATTGTAGAGCTGGAGAGACCAGCGAGGAGGGCATTGGAATAGTCCAGTCAGGAGGTGACAAAGGCATAGATGAGGGTTTCTGCTGCCTCTGTTGTGAGGTATGGACAAAGGCGGGCAATGTGGTAGAGTTGGAAAAAAGCATTCCTGGTCAGGGAACGGATGTGGGGTAGAAAGAAAAGCTGGGCATCGAACCTGACACCTAAGTTGCGCACGGGTTCAGTGAGTCTGAGGGAGAGCCTGGGGAGGTTGAGAAGTTCAGTTCCCGCAAGAGAAAAGAAGTTGATGGGAGCCAATGAGTATTGAGTATCAAAATTTGTCTTTTATTAGGTGAGATAGGAGAAAGTGATGATTTTTATTCAGAAGGCCAGAATTCAAGTTGTAGTTTTAGTTACTGTTTTAATTTTGCTCCCCTCTGGCAAGTGAATTTTCATTAACTTTTGGTTAGGTTACAAACTCTTGAGTGTCCAGCATCTTGTGACATCCTCCTGTTGACTGTGGTCACAAAGCACCCTTAATAATGGGGAGTACGGCAAAGGGGCTTAATAATAACTCCTAGGGCTTGTGCCAATCCTCAATAGTACCTCCTTTAAGATGAAATGTAGTAGTTGATTACCATGACTAGGTTATCGTTGGGGAGAATAGTAAAACTGAACTGAAAGTCACCTGCACAGGTATGGAATGAATAACTAATCTTAGGGATGCAATTTTTGCAGTTTGCATTTGATATTTATAATATTAATAATCCTTGCGTTTGATATAGCACCTTATCAAATGCAAGTATCATTATTATTATCACGTCTTCTAAATAATAATACTTGCATTTGATGTAGTGGCTTATTACGTTTTCGAGACATCTCAAAGCGCTTCACAGAATATATTGTGAAGTGAATTAACTGTATATTTTGTAGGCAAAACACGGCAGCCAATTGCGCACAGCAGTGTTCACAAACAGTCGTGCTTTGAGTGACCAGATTATTATTATTATTCTTGAAGGGATTATTACCCCGAAAAGCAATCTACCAATCGACTAATAACCAGGTTCCTACTTACTGCTAGGTAAACAGAGGCGCGTGGAGTAAGGAAATTTACCCAATGCTTCACCTACCTGGAAATCAAATATTTGTGCTTCTCGGTATGTGGTTCCTTACACTTTGAAGCAGAGCTATGAGTGTACCTGTTAAATAATCAACTAAATGTCCCTTCTTAGTATTCCTTCCTAGTAAAATGACTTGCATTTTTGTGATGCGCTTAAGACCTTTTGTGATCGATGTTCTATCATGACTAGAAAGTAGCTTCACAAAGAACAGTACCTCTATTTAGCATCTGCTTTGGGTTTGTTCTTTATAAAGCCTGTTGCACAGAAGATGGCTTTTTTTTAATATTAAAATTATGGGATTATAGTCTGCTTCATAAATTATGCTTATTAACTGAACTGACAGCATGTAATTCTAGAACGATGATTAGTGTTGGTGGTGCGACCACATTGGCTCGCAACATGGGTGTAGACCCAGTCGAAGGATTGTTTGTTTCACAGTAGAAGGTTGTGTAGAAGCCATGGTGAAATTTGAATGTATTTACATTTAGCTTTTCATAGCTTGAAGTTTGTCACTCTGAACAGGCCTTTAACCCTTTGAGAAATGAATTGTTGTTGCCATTTGCTCATGTCCCCATATGTATTTTTAAGTAAATCAACTCCTAGAATGATTTGGGTTAATCCAAGTTAAAAACAGTTTAACTTCTAGTGCACAAGAAATTTGTTTTAAGTAGTGAATAACTTTGAAGATGTATTGGCTCTTTAAATGTATGGGCCCGTACTGCTTGTCTGTTCTCCTTCTCTAGATCCTGGTTGATGGTAGGCAGCAATGTGGGAATGGGAA